TTATGAGTCCTTATAAATACAGATGTCCAACAAAATGTGCTTGCTGTTTAATCGTTGCTTCTTAATTTCAAATCTTTTGTAGGTTTCAACTATTCATATTGCAAGACTAGCTTAAACTTTACTCCTCTCATAAACTAATCTTGTACACCTTTCCATCATGCTGGGGTGGCTTAGCGCTGCCATTATGCACCCATCGCTACTTCAATTATCTATGGTATTGTATAGCCGACATATTTGACCTCAGCGTACTGACAACACCACCAGACAGTTTTTCTTTGAATTTGGGCCAATGCCTGCAGTGCTTTACGTCAGCGCTTTAGCGACCAACCGCTTCGCTACGTTTTTCCTTCCTACGGAATGACAACGTTGATTTTCAAATGTAAATCTTTCAAGCTAGTCCTTGAAACATACAACCAAGGCTAAAAAATCCCACTAAAAGTTGTTGATTTTCAACAATGGGCACATTTCATGGCGAAAGATTTTGCAAGCCTCTTGATTGAATAAACTATTTTATCTCGGTTGTATTGGTTATTGGGTTACACCTAAAGATTCTGCAGATTTTTCGCATAAGATGTTTCCAAACGGTTACAAATAATCAGCAAACAAGTGTCGAGAAGTGTGCCCTCAGTTCTTCTTTCTGTTTTTCTTTGCTTTCGTGCCTATTTCATGCAATAAGTTACTTATTAACGGTGTTTATTTTTTCACATAACAGTGAACAAGTTAACAAATTGAGCATGATTCCCAACTTTTAAGAGTTGTGCCTTTGTCACTATTCTTTTGTAGAAATTTTAACTAGAAAAATAGGAATTTTGCAAAAATCTGAGCAAGGAGTTAATTAAAAGGTACAAGAGTCTCCAGATTTTTGAGATAAATACTCATGTTGAAATTGAAAACTGTGCAGATGTCATCCTTAATAAGAGTGAGAATTTTCTATTGAACGAATGCAAAAGAACAGCTTTGCAAAGTCTGAATTAACCCTGTTGAGGAAAAGAAAAACAAAGTTATTACTTTTTTATTCATACAGAAAAGTGAAAGTTATGCAGTTTTGCGCTCGGATCTACATTTTTTAACTATGTACAAAATATACATGTGGCCTTGCAAGCATCGGAAAACAGAACAGAGCCAAATGTTATGTGGAGGTGTATGGCGAGTTGCCCGATTTTAGGTTTCACTAAGGGCAGATTTAGTTTGCTCGTAGTTGTGTATTACCCTCCATAATAGAGTGCACAAGCTATCTACTTTGATATAGAACTATAACAAAGAGAACCATTCGAAGATATGAAGCTGTAAGTCAGGAAATTTCAAAGAAACGGATCTGGAGAAGTTTTTTTTTGTAGTTTCAACAATATTCGCTCACAAGCTTTCGCACTGCCCATATACTTCATCTAGCTGATATATTGTAGAAACTCCTTTCTTGATTCAATTGAAAAGCTCCAAAGCTTATGAAGATAGTTTTTTATTGTGTTATTTGCATTATATAAATACGGCTGGGAAAAATCGCTCTACTCGACCGCCTTCCCTGTATCCGGTGGTACTAAATGAAACCACGAATATCTTATGTATCATTCTGCAGAGAAATAAGGGTGAGCGAACAACTACGCAACATCAAAAATTATTCGGTGCCGCTATTAATGGGTGTCAAACGAATACGCTTCTATTTACTTAAATATATTCTCTGGTATCTATAGAGTCTAATTGACACATCAAGATGCCTTAAAGATCTGAAGTGTTTTCGAAATCATTTAGAAAGAAATTTAAATCAAACGTGACATGAGTCTCGCACAGCTTTCGTTCTTTTTAAATTATCAGATTCCTAAACTG